TGATAACCATCAAATCGCCTGCCATTTGATATAAATAAATTGTTTGAAAAGGCTAAATAAGGTACAGGCGAGGAGTTGTCCCGATTTGTTCCTTATGAGAAACACAAGCCTTTTATCTGAGCAGACCGCTAGACCATTGTGTGCGTTCTACAATGGCACACTCTCATAAACGTTTCCCTTACATAGAACATGGGATAGGTGTTCGTTGTTGCCTAAAAATTTCCCTTTTCAATAAATTAATCGTGTCCATTATATGAAATAGACACCCTCTTCCATCCTTGCAATCACTCACATGTTATTAGAGATCGTGGTACATTGGTCAAAAACGTTTGTAGCTTCCAGCACTTTTCGTCCGCGATGCTATCGAACAAACTCAGTTGGGAGTGAAATCCACTGTGTGAATGTGTAAAGCGGGAATAAATCATTACTCATTGCAACTACTGCTACATAAATAAGCTTTTCCTCTAGTAACAACTTACAACCGAGAGTAGCTGCGTCAACAGCATCGAGGAGACAGAATATACGGCCATCTGCTTACCACTAGTTGCAATCAATGCTATTGATTGCCAATTGACTGAGAGGTCTCTGCACTCATGGCCGTACTTGTTCGCTAAGCGATCATTAGCAATTTCGCACATTCCAGGATGTTCTAGAGTGTAGGGGATCCTTTGAAAAGCCTTGGTAATATTTATTTATATCAAATGGCAGGCGTCTTGATGGTTATCATTAGCCCTCTAGTTGACTTCAGGCTTCACAGAGGGGAAGGAACATCAAAGTGAATAAAGTCGAGAGGGGAACAGAAGAGTAATTCACAGATGTAAGAGACAAACACAAAGGTAGAAAAAAGGTGAGGTAGGTACTGTGAAAATAGTCGAATATGGCATAGAGTGGGAAAGTACTGTGAAAATAGTCGAATATGGCATAGAGTGAGGTGGTGGTAGTTAGAAGCCAGAAGTCAACTGCTGGTTAATAGACTTTTTTTGCCGTATGAATATATGTTGCCCAGGGTGCACCACGTGTAGGTAAGTCCATGGTACTATTGCTCACTCTATATCACACAGTTAGCTGATGACCTATTAGAAACTACTGACATCTACTTCCAAATTCAAGATGTTAGGATGGAGATTGCGTCTGAACAAAACAAATAATTCCTCGTATCAATTCATAAAGGCTCTGTACAGTCGATGACAAACCACAGGATACAATGAAATGAATCATGGTAAACCCCATCGATCTCACTTAATTCTTTATTTGTTTAAAGTTTTTATCAATGGCGTTTCCAAATCACACTCGAAATTTGCTAACATAAAGCGGTAAATTCGGTTCAAATCAATTTTTTACTAAACACCTGATGGGAAAGTCATTTAATGATTTTCTACTATCCTATGTAAAAATGCTGTGAAGTAATTCGAAAGCGTGTTTAAGTGGGTAAAATTTATAAAAAAAGTAGTTCGAGAGAACTTTCGTATAGCTAAAAATCTCTAGTAGATTCCAAATTTTAAATAAAAAAATACGAATTATCTCCTAATGAATATTGAGAATCATCAGTTAGTATTTGAATTTACATTTTAATTTCAAAAAATTACCTTAAATAACAAAATGACAGGAGCACCTCATCAGCCTGAATGATGGCCAACTAATAGTTCGCCCATCGAAACCATTTTAATTGACAACAGATGCCCAAATGTGAACGTCTCTAAGGCACACAGGGTACATATACTTCACCAGCTGATTAAATTTAGCCTTCCAGTTCAGTCATGATGCGAATTTCACCTCAAAGTAGCCGCAAGTCCGTGTTTGACCAGCGTTAGTAGTAAGGTCACAACACATCTAAGTCGACTTCTCAGAAGCCATCATATGTTCGGTGTCGAATAGCAGATAAACCCCATTGAATCGTAGAAGTAAACCGTGTTTAAGGTACGTAGAGAGAAGATATGCTGCTATCGCTATTAGAAGAAGTTCACACTCTACCACTTCTTTTGTTGGCAAGACCTAACTGGAGTGTTTGGCCACACATCATTGGGCATAAATTGATTGATTAATTATCATATTTGAAAGCATCTGATACACGTTTATAACCCATAGAGAGAGAGAGAACACCAAATATGAATAGAAATTGAAATAATTACGTTAAAGGCAGGAGATAATAAAGCAGTCAATCTAGTCCGATTTTTCATTGCACAGTAGTCGGGGTGAGAAAAGGGTCATTTTAGAAGGATCGATCCAAGAGTAGCCTCGCGAAACAGTATCACTGCAACATGGGCAGTTTTTGAAGGGCTGGAGAAAAAAGGAAAGATTATCTTGGGAGATTAAAAAAAGACTGAAGTGGGGAGGGGTTAAATGAGCGCTAATAAGGGGACACAGAGAAAACCAAGCAGGCTATCATTAAAATGTCATAAAGTCAACAAGATTTACAACGGATAGAAATAAGGACTAGAAGATGAGAGAATTGACTGGTCCATTGGTGCGCATGGTGCGTGGCAAGCGCATTTATGTCCGTCAGCTTAGCCTACTTTCAAACGGTTGCAGACAAACAAAAAACCTACCCTCACACTGCAAACGTTTTCAGAAATATAGCTCAAATGGATTAAAGAATATCTAAACGCGTTTGACCACTTTGCTCAAACCCCCCCCCCCATCACCCAGTGGAAGCACTCGGTACAAAGACAAGAATAAATGGCCTACTGAACCGCAGCGTTAGAAGTCATGGGTTGGAAACTCGTCAAAGGACGGAATGAAAGTGAACCAAGTGCTGCATATTGTTGACAGTACAGAGGTGGCCACAACTTTATCCCAAAGTTGAAAAAATACCAGCACCAAAAATTGAAAAAGATAGAAATCAGAGAGGAAATTGATAACTACCAAAACGTCTACCATTTGAAATAAATATAAAAATTCGATGCTGTTTCTTGAGGGATCAAATAACCACTGACTTAAAAGACGTCTCATAAATAGGTGATGCATAGAGAGTATATTTTGGATTTATAAGAGGACACAAAACGTCAAAATCATTATATATTTTATAAGAAATTAAATAAGAGACTTACTTGGGAAGAATTCAAAATCTTATCTCGAATAGTCGACATCAAGTTATCATTTTGCCACCCAATAACACTAAAAAATTAGAATCTGTAAGCATATAAATAGACAACGCAAAAAGTTTGGATATTTTCATACCTCAGGGAGTTAAGATGTGAATCAGTTGAGGTGGAATCTGTCGATGACCAAAGGGAATGATCCTCAACATACGTTCTTGCCCGGATCTCAAATTTCTCATGCTCCGATAAGAAACTAAAAAAATGGAAATACGGAAAGGGAAGATGGCTTACGACTGGGCAACTTCCGGATTCGCAAATTTCTTAGCGTTGTTGGAGCCCACCGACTCAATTGAAAGATCATTAAATACACATCGGAAGTAATGTAAAATGTGATAAATATGCGAGCTACCAGGGACCCATTTCTCAAACTCAGGGCCCAAGTCCAGTTCTCCGGTAGCTGGATGCACGTAAGGATGATAAAAATTGCGTGCAAGGAAAATTTTCTGAAAAATATGATGAAAATGTAATGCGAAACGTACAGGAGGTTGAGAGGAGGGGAAATCATCGGGAATTTCCACTTTGAATGGGAATGAACCACCACAATAGTAGCCTTTCCGAACAGAAATTATTCCATTCCAGACTGAAATAAGAAAATTACCAATGTTCTAGCAAACCATTCGGATCATCAATCGACGAGATCACGTAAATGCCGGGTGGATGATATTTCATGATCAAATTACTTCAAGAAAACCAATTATCTCATTAATGTAACATACTATTCTGACATAACATGATATTGGTGAATAAATTTTGGAGGTAGAGCAGAATATACTGGTTCCTCTAATTCCATTTTAGAGAAGTGAAAAGCGAATGCAAGGACGGGGTAATGATGACATATATCAAATGATATCCTAACATTATACTACATATGCATTTTAATATAAAATTAAACGCGAATACCAATAACAAAATAACTCTAATTTTGAAAAATATCTTTTGTTAAAGATCAAAATATCCTACTAATTATATTTAAAATATATTTTTATAATTATCTAAACCTGCGAAAATAACTAAAAAATTTTAAATCATATTTTATTTAACATTAAAAATAATATTTTATTTTTCTATTTTATTTGTTTGCGCCATACACAATAATCTCCTCACGTTATTGCTTGTGGGTTGATTCCGTTTGCGCTTAGTGTAAAATGAACCAACAGAAGTCCTTCGAGGAAATTTTAAATGGGGTGCATTTTATTTTACTAATTTTTATTTTTTCACAATCTTTGCTTAATCTGGCTGTGTGCTCGTACTAATTAATGTTTTGTGCATTATTATAGTTTCAAATCAAAGAAATGACGGATCTTTACGTCAAATGTGGGACTGTTTGCTTCAATAATTGTGTCAATAACATGACTGCTCGCAAACTGAGCGATGAGGAATTGAACTGTATCACAAAATGTACAGAAAAGTTTGCCAAGATGAATCAAAGGCTATCCCTGCGGTTGCTTGAGTTAAATCAAATGGAAATCGAAAAGCAGCAGCAGGGACAACAAAAGTAATCAATTTCGTTAATTACTGTACAGAATAGTATGTAGATGTCTTACTCGGATTGTATAGTGAATTGTCAAAAAAATCGATAAAAAATTCATTACTTTATCCTTTGTCTGCTTATATACTTGCTCATTTTTTACTTTAATGCAAGCTTAAGTCTTCGAGACTGACATTTACGAGTTTTTCTAAAGCCCTTCTTGATTGATGAGTATGTAAGCAAATTGTAAATTGAAGAAGTCATTATGTAATGGTATTAGATCTTCATGGTTTCATTTTTCTTGGCAATTGTTTGCTATTGCCTCTCTAGTAGATTAAAGTTCGTTATTGTTTAAACCTCTAATAGAGTTTGATATGTGACTCTCTGCTATAATGCGGGTAGTCATTGGCTTCTTTCTTTGGCCGCATACGTTCCCTGAAATTTAAAATGAGGTTATACTTCTTCTGTAATTTGTCTTTGTATACTCTTAGCAAGAGTCATAGTTACCGTAGTACCACGTCCATCCAGAGATTTGAGTCCCTCCCCGTTCTCTTTGCCATGTCGACATATCGTTCTTTATTTGCTTTCTTTTCATACTTAAATGGGTCATATCTTCCTGGCCCCGTATATGGTGTCTAAAGGTAAGGGTAAATGTTTTTGTGCTCGATTACTGCTTATATTAAAAGGGTTCTGGTCAACATACCATATTTCCAATTTGTTGGTTGTATTGTTTTTGTGTAATAACATTATTACCATGGCTTCCAAATGGTATTTTCGAAGATGATTTCAGTTCGCACATTTTCCAATCTGCCGCTCCGATATTGTATTGACCTGGTGATGTGTCAATCTATAAACATATCATTTACTTGTGTCCATATGCGAGTTACCTCCTTATCTACATTATAACTCGGTTCACTTTGGCAAATTCTTTCCCCATACTTCTTTGGAAACCGTTCCGCTTTCAAGAAAATTCCTTTCTTTTTATTAGCATTGTTATTAAGTAGATCTACAAAAGTCGGTACATCTCGAAATTCTGTTTGTTGTTTCGGGGCCTATATAAAATTTTATATTCGCGATTTAGCCGAATATTTGTTTATTAAACACTTGAACCGGACCTACTGCGAAATATCCGTGTTGCGTATGCATCGATCGGTCTAGTTTGTAGGCATCAAATGAATGGGATCTTCTCGCAAGATTCTCCAAATCGGTTTCAAGCGGAGACTTTAATTTATAATAGGATGGTCTTGTGCTTGTCTATATTTCAAGCATCATGTTGAATTTATTTTAAAAATGGATATTATATGTATTACTATATAACTTACTGGCCTAATTCTTGAGTTAGCCTTTTGATTGGTTGGTAGAGGTGACGTGAGACTCCATGGTTCACTTTTTTGAAATTTATTTCGTTTACATATGGACTCATTGGGATTATAAGTGCCGGGTGGTGGCACACTAGTCTAAAATAATTTAGAGCTCTAGCTAAAGTGGATATCAAAGGAAGTTATTGAACAGTCTGTTTTAATCCATCTAATCAAAACAAAGGTCCTTTTTTCAGCAAGCCCATTAAAAGAAAGTTTTCCTTTGTTTCATTCCATCCCTTAAGCATATATTGAGGTTTTTCTCACCAATCATCATATGTGTTCTAATAACTTTCCACCGAAGGTTCTCATCAACCATTGTTTTTTTTGTAAGAAAATATCCTGCTTACTTAAATAAGTTAATTATTTTTTGCAGAATTACTAGTTAAAGTAAGCTGATACTATTGCCTGTGCTCATATGTTTTCGACAGGTTTTCCTGTTCTTGTCGTTTTTCTTTGGAATATATCTTTATCTCTGGATTGCACAGTGGTACTTTAAAGTTGTAACATTCTCAAATTGTGAATATTATAAAGTTTTTGTAAAAGTATTCAATGAGCTTTAACGAAAAATTTAATGCACAACATCGGACGTACTTTAAATAGTACAGTGAGCCCGTAATCGAATAACGACGCCAAATTTTCACCTATACCACTTTGCAACTATAACTTTTGAAAATATGTATTCTCACTCACTTCGGTTGGTTCGAATAAATTTTAGTTTAGAGTTATTGAATAGAAAACTAGTTGTCGATAATTAAATTGGAACATTATTGTAGCGCTGGTCAATCAACTCCTGATCGTCTAAAGAGCCCTCTCGCTGTATGCGGATAAAATCAAATTATTTTACTTCAAATTTGGTTTTGAGAGGCTTTTAGACATATTTATTACCTCAACTTTACTGAAAAGAATGGCTACCAAAAGCTTCACAGGAAAGACAAAAGTAATACAAATTTCTAGAAATAGCATTCCACTTTTCTTCCTATCAAGGGAAGCGAAAAGTATTCAATTCTTCAAAATAAGTTAGAAATTGAGGAAGTTTAATATGATCATCAGCTATTCTAGTAGAGAAGGGGTAGAACTTTCGCTTATAGGAGTCATCAAAGCGGAGAGAAAGCTGACTTGCACAATAGTAAGCAATTTTAAAGTTTAATGAATACTTGGAGTGGCTAGGCACTTTCAATAAGGTTACAGGTCACTCTTGGGCAAACAAGGGTATGCTCAAGGAAGCAAGAACATGTGCAAGATGTGAAATTTGAGGGAAGATATTTAGCAGGTCAGGCCATTTTTGGAAAATATAGATTCAATTGAAAATAATTTTAATATTTGCCAAACTTATGCTTTTAATGCAGCTTTACTACTTTAATTTGTTTCTGTGGGCAAATTTTATCCAGGAAAGTAAAGGAAAAATTAGTCAGACCAAATCTACTTAAGTTCTTCATACTGCGAATAGATCATGCAATGGCAAGTTATTGAAATCGTAGAAGACAAAGAATGAGATCTCAACGTACTATAATTTCAGGTCCAGTAATTCTCTGTATCTTAGACCCAAAAGCTGGTTTGCAGGGTGGAACCCAAGGGCATTTTGGCGGCTTTACTCGGGGTTCAAGTTCGGCTAGTCGGATGTCTATTTCATCTTCATCCTTTTTCACTGATCTTAAGCGGATCATATCCTCGATTTCAGAGGCCTCAATTCTTGGAACTGAAGCATTCAAATATTGCCCCGATTTATGAGCGCTATACAGGATATAGGGCGTTTTTGAGCGAGTTTTAGCCAGTGAATTGTGACATTGGTATTCCTTTGGGTTGTAACTGAAATCATAGGTCGATTTCTAGAATATATAAGGAGGATCAATGTTCCTACATTACGAAGGGTTTCTAGTAATTTTGGGTGAATTCCGTTTAACGTGAATCTAAAAATTCTTTTTTTTCATAAATAGTCTACCTATCAGATTTTGTAAAAGTGCATCCTTTATTGGATGAATTTGACATTAGGATATCCTTTGATTTTTCAATTTTATCTTGTCGCGATAAAGACTTCATATTTTGATAACTGCGCTATAGCATTAAAGGTCGTTGACAATTTAATTTAACAGCTGAATTTGTAATAGTTTTATTAAGTGAAATACTTCATTTTTTCGCATTAATTATAATATAACCGAAATCAAATTCTGATTTATAAAGTAGTTATGAGAAAGAAATTTTTCACTTCCATGATATAGAGCTTTTAAAATGTGCACAAACAGAACAGTTAGGTAAAATTGAGTTAAACGGATTATATATAAAACGAAATTTACGTTCTTTGATAAATTACGTGTTACTCTCTAAGTATTAATAACAATTACTTGTAATGCCTATTTGAGCGTCCTGCTATGAAATAAATTTTACCTTCATTTGCTGTAAGATGGACTATTTGCAAAAAATAAATCATAGCCATAAGCACTTTCTAAACCCCACAGAAAGCTTATTCATGGAAATGATTTTATCTTAATCACGCTGTTCATGATTTATTCCCTCTAATATTCACTTCGTTGGGGTGTGTGAGACTTACCTCCACGTGGCGCAGCCTGGGCAACGTATACACATACGGCAAAAAAGTCAAATAATCGGCAATTGACTTCTGACTTCAAACTACAATGGTCCAACTGTATGTCACATTCCACAACTTCCACAGTACTCATCTCACCTCTTCTCTACCTTTGTGTCTGTCTGTCTATTTTACATCTGTGAATCACTCTTCTGTGCCACACCTCTCGACTTTCTGTTACCCTGATGTTCCTTCCCCCTGTGAAGCCCGAAGTCAGC